TGGCTGAACTTTAAGATATGATGAACTGATAAAATGGAGAGTGGGAATGAGTGTTTTTTTTAATATTATATTGTTATCCTCTGTAAAGCCTATTTGCCAAAGGGGACTGTCCTCAGTGACTTCTGTCAATGCATCAATCAATCTCTCCCCCTTTTCCCCTCACACTGTTAACTACCTCCTCTGATTCTGTGTAGCTCATAGAGGACTGTTCTCTATGCATCTAGATTGTGACAATCCAAAGAAAGACTAGGGTCTTTCTTTGGATTTGGAATGACAAAGATGATTTAATTAGACCCCTATTTTGCTCCAATCAGCATTAATCAGTTCAGTGTGATTCCATAGGGATAATTATTGTTGCCAATTATTAGTGATATACTCATCTAGCAATATACATTGTCAGTCTAGTCAACTAACACGAGGATAGGCATTACATATATTAATACATATTTTACATATCTTAGATATAGGAAAAATTAGATAAGGTTAGATTAGATCTCAAACTTTAAACTATTACCAATAATGTTTACTTGCTTAACCACAAGAATGCTGATGACCAAAACTAGCATGGGTGGGATGTCATGACATGGTATGGGAAGTCCCCCAATTTATTTTCTTACCTCCAGACCACCATTTCTTGCCAGGGATGAGGAGGGGACAATCTTATGACCATTTAGTCAGTGGAGATGACTTGCCTCACCCATCCTGTGACCACCCACGCTGATGCATCATTTCTGGCCTTCCTGGAGGGTCAAAATCAAGGTCTACCATCCAATGAAACTCTGTATTTTACTTTGCCTCTTCTGTCAAGCCATATAAAAAGTAAGACTCTGGGGAAAGGGGGCATCTTAGAACATGAGGAAAAATCCCATTCATTGAAGGAGTTCAGTCCTTTTAATAAATGGTTAATGGCTTCAGAGCTCTGCCTCAGTGGTTTTTCTTAGAGATTGGATAATTTTTCACCCCACACAAAAACACTTACGTCATTTGTGCCAGATGCATATATTATGGCTCAACATCCCACATGGCATGTATGAATTTACTCAAATGTGGGAGCTATTCTTCCTCTGCAGGGCATCTTACATACCAAAACAATTCTACTTTCCACCCTAGGAAAAATAGTGTGGTCTTCTGTCAAGAGTAGGAAGACTCAAACTGACCGTCAATAATACCTTACAGTATATGACATAGAGAGATGCCTGAAATTTTCAAAGATGTCATCAACAAGATTATTATATTTAATAGTCAGATCCAGAAGCCTGTCTAAAAAAACTATCATAGTATTTCAGAATTCTCCATCACTGGCATGATGTTGAGTAGATTTATGCAATCAATACCTGTTTAACCCTGTGCATCCCAAATCACAAACAGTTGGTATATAGAAATATGTCAACAGAATCATCATATAAATGTTCTAATTCTTAATTTCAGATAAATCAGCCATGATTCATTTATGTTATAATATGGGCAGTGGCGAGTTTCTACAGATCACATTTCCAGCAGAGAGTGGCCTGACCAAGAACTAGAGTCATAGCAATTTTGGAATAGTTCTGCCATTTTGCACAGAAACACCCTTTTATTTTCAGTATGCCAGTTTTTTTTCATTGAGAAGCAAATATCAAGACTTCTATAATATGTTCATGTACCTCATTTAAAAAACTTAATGCTCTGAATTCTATTGGACATCATGAAATTTTGGTTCTCCAAAGGATTTGACTGAGATTACCAAACATTCATGTGATGATATTAAATGATAAGATAGTTGTGTTGAGAATGGTATTTATGTTCTATCTTCCACCCCTAACAGAGTGAAGCATAGTTGTTCAATAGATCCATGTTTTTATAAACTCATTTTACAGAGCCATGTTTGAGAAATCTATCAAGGAAATTAGGCTTCTTTCTTGTGGTTGGACATATTATATAATGCTTTCATGGTAGCTCTATGGTAGTTTTTATATTTCTTTGGATAATTGTAAGTGCTGTTGTTCAGTCTTTCTTCAGTCATGTCTGGTTCCTTGTGACCCTATTTGGGGTTTCCTTGGCAAAGATACTGAAGTGGCTTGCCATTTCCTTCTCCAGCTCATTTTGTAGATTAGGAAACTGAGCAAACAGGGTTAAGTGACTTGCCCAGGATCACACAGCTAGTAAGTGTTTGAGGCCAGACTTGAACTCAGGAAGATGAATCTCCTTTACTTCAAAACCAGCACTCTATTCACTATGCCACCTGGCTGTCCAATTGTAAGTACTACATGTTTATAATAGTAATTATTATGCACCTACATGGTGATGAACATTTTAGGGCTTCCTAAATGAGATGCATAAACTCTCTAAGTAATTCAACCCAAGTCTACATTTGAAAAACCAAATGGATGAAAAATGCCTGTTATCCAAATTACAATATACAGTTGAATAAGTAGCCTATAGAGATTTTCCTTAACCATATTCATAGATGTACATATATTTATACCTATAGCTATATTCATAACTATACCTATATATCAAGTGAATATTGTACACATAGTTTACCTAGTTTTTAGCAAAGCTTTGGATAAAATATCTCAAACTATCCTTATGGAAAAGATAGAAATATGTAGGACTAGACCATAATATAGTTAAATGGTTTTGGAACTGGTTGAATGGTCTTACTGAATGAATTATTATTAATAGGTCAATGTCACCCTGGCAAGAAGTCTCTAGTAGCACACCTCCTCCCCCCCACCAGAGATCTGTGCTCAGCCCTATGCTATTTAACATTTTTATTTAAAAAAATTTGGCTAAAGGCATAGATAGCACACTTACTATACTTACAGATGACATAAGTCTTGGAAGGATAATTAACACATTTGATGACAGAGCCAGGATCACAAGCTACAACAGTGAGCTGAATATAATACGATGAAAAACAATGTGGATAAATGTAAACTTATATTTGGGCTCAAAAATCAATTTTACAATTACAAGATAAAGGAGCTATGTTTAGACATCGATATGTTTGGGAAAGATCAAGCTGCTTTAGTGGAATACAAGCTCATGGAGGCAATATGGAGGCAATAATTACTCTACTGTACTAGGTCTTAGTCAAACTATAGCCAAAATAGCGTACTTAGTTCTGAACACCACAGCTTAAGAAAGACATTGTTAAGCTTAAGAATATCCAGAATAAGGCAATGAAGATGCTGAGGCCTTGGGTTCGTGTCATATCAGCACAGACTAAAAGAATTAGGGGAGTTAAGACTGGAGAAGATTTGGGGTTATGATAGCTGTCCCCTAATGACAAGAGCTCTATAAAAACAAACTTATTTAAAATCCTGAGAACTCTGATCAGTGCAACGACCCACCAAGATTCCAGAGGATTAGTGATGGATTAAGCATGCTACTCACCTCCTGATGGAGAGGTGAATTAGATATCAGTTTTTTTGGAAATGGTCAATGCTAGAATTTGTTTTGTTTACCTCCAAGTATTTGCTAGCAAGTGTTTTGTTTTTGTTTTTCAGTGGTGGACTGGATGGGGGGGGGTGGGGGGAAGAGAAAATAAATTTTTGTTCATTGAAAATAATACAACAATTTTTGAAAATGAAGTATCCCTAACAAGTAGAGTTAAAAGGATAGCCTGGAATCAGCAGAGATATGGGTTTGGATCCTAGTTTTAGTACTTATTAACTGTGGCCCAGGAAAAGTCATTTAAAATCTCTGAGCTTCCTCATCCATAAAATGGAGATAATTATCTATTTCATAAGGTGGTAAAGGAAGAGTTTTGTAAACCTGAAAATGCTGAATAAATGTGGGTTGTTCTTAGCATAAGCGCTTTTTCCACTATGAGCCACTTTACAGATTTGGCAAAGCAACAACAACAATTACCTTGAAAAAAAGACCAAGGTTATGAACTTTACCCTAAGGAAAGCTATATTCAATTAGAGCTTTCTTTTGGCAAAGAGTCAAAAGCTGTCACTTTTTCAAATGAAGCAAGTATGGACCAATAAAAGAAAAAAAGAAAAAAACTCCTGTGCCACCTTTAAGAAGCAAGCTTCTAGTATATGGCATCTGATATCCAATCAGTATACAGGTAAATGCTTTCTAGAAAGACAGTGTTATCCAACTTTCTAAATGGTGTGAAATGTGTACCATCCATTTACATAACAACAAGATTCCTAAGTACTTTCATCATATCAAACTGAAGTAATACTTCAGTACCTGAAGGATCTGTGATCTCATCAAAGTGGCTATTCTCTTCAATGGCACAGATTACTCCACTTATGACTACCCATTCTGCCCATTCAGTGACTCTACCCTTGCCTGACCATAAATTCTTCACAGAGGAGTCCACCCACCCAATATTTTTGAGTTCTCTTGATGTTAGATGGTACTAGGGAGCACATAGATGGTCAATTACTTGCTCCACACTCAATACATGGCCAGTCTGCCTTTTTCTATAGATAGATATCTTTTACACTTCTGCATAATTCCCCATTTATATTGCAGCATACTCACATCCACTATGCATTTTTCTGTTGCCTTTTGAGTATTTCTTAACTTCAGTTTTCTGGAGATTGTAGTATTCTATGACTCACAGCCACAAAATACCACCAGAATATTCATGTTAAAAATATAAGCATTCGTTTCAAGGGAAAGTTTGAGTCATTAAAAGTACAGTGAAATTTTACAAAGGCAATAGGCTCCACTCTTCTCTTTCCATTCATTCTTCCCCATTATATGTACATGGAGCCATAACTAATATCAAAAGGCAAGACAAGGCCACCAACCATTTAGTAGACAAACACCAACTGACAATTAGCTTGTAAAAGGTAATAGAATCAGTACATACTTATTGAAGCTCAGTTTATGGGCTGTACTGGGCTAGCTTTGGCTTTTTATTTTTTTAAAGAATGATGGACAACAGGTTAGTCAGAATACCTTCTGTGTGAAAAGCTGTAGTAGGGTCAAACTAAAAACAGTATGGCACTTAGTATTCAATATGGCCATATGTAAGCACCTAGTATTACCTTATCTTTTATCTTCAGGCCTTAAGAGTCCATCTCAATTGTTCAATTCTTGAAGTAATAGTGGGAGTTTTATGGTCATATCTATTAAACTATAAACAGAAACAGATCATTATTTTTCCACTTTATGCATAATCATTAAACTTTGAAACATGAAAATACCATGAAGTTACATCAACATATATTCCTAGCTAATGACCATCAGTAATAGGTCAGAAAAAGAAAAACAACATTTTGGGAAAATCTGCAGATGTTTTAACTTATAGGCTTATGTAATCAAAATAGACAGGAAGCCTTGAAATTGAGTATAAAGAAACCACCAGAGCCTTAAGTGTGCTCAAGTATATTGGAGGAAGGGTTGGAGGTATCAATAGTTTTTGAATATGCAAGGTATTTTATGATAGGCAGCATGATAGGCAGTCAACTTTTGAATTGGGAAGACCTGGGTTCAAGTTTTGCTTCTGAGAACTCCTGGCCATGTAGCCATAGACAAGTCACATAATCTCTCATTGCCCTAGGCAATTTTCTAAGATTACAAATTAAAGAGAAAGGAGTACATCTTTATTGGCAGAGAGAAATTCCTTAGTAAAAATTTTCCATACAAGTGAAATAGGTCTAGCCTGTGTATTTCAAAATATAATCTGTGTCTTTTCTTAAGAAAAACTTTCCCCATGTTATATACTGAAAAAAAAACTTCATAGAAGCTTAGTCTTCAGAATCCTCTCTAGAGACTGTGTGCTAATGAGAAAAACACAGAGGAATATTCAAATTAAATTTGTAAGGTAAATAGATTCTAAAATGCCAGAAATGAGGATTTGGAAGTCAGTATAAACCATTTCCTGAAAATAATATCAGAAGCATAATAGGATCAGTGGAAACACTGTTGGATTTGGAATTAAAAGACCTAGATTAGAATTCTGACTGCTGCTTAGTGCCTATGACTGTAGGCAACTACTTTACCTGTCTGGGCCTCAGTTTCATCATCTGAAAAAAAAAAAAGAAATAGGAGGATTGGACTAGATCTCTGAATTCCCTTTCAGCTTTAAGCCTATGGTTCTATGCATGTCCTTTAGCTAAGTCCTTCAGTTTAATGCTGTCCTTAGTTACAAAACTGTCCTCCACTTAGGCGCTATGCAAGCAGCTTCAGCACCACCAACAGCGCCCAGTGATATGCTGCTGGGAAGGTTTTTTGTCTTTTGGGGGTTTTGGTGAACATGCGTTTTTGGATTTTTTGTTATTGTTGTTTATCCTTCCCTTCTCTCTTTTCCTCCCTTCTGTCTTTCCTTTATTTTCTCCTTCCTACCTTCCCATCATCCTTCTTCCCTTATTTGTCCTTAGAGAGGACTGAGAGAAGGTCAAAATGACGCATCCTGTTCTCAGCTAAATCTCTTTTGGCTGTAAGGCTCAGGAGATACTAGCACAAGCTGAACTGGAAGATACTGCCTCGGCACACAGAATAATACTAGGGACATGGCAGGAGACCTAGAGAGGATTTTAGCGATCAATTAATTAGACTCCTGCTGCTTCAGGAAGTCAATGTGGCAATGAACCCTAATTGCTAACCTGAGATATTTGATGTAAATGGAAATCAGCTCTTTTTCTTTTTTCAAAACTGGAGAAATGTTAAAAGACACATAAGCCTGTTGCTAATATAGCCCAGACTTCCTTTCCTTTTTTAGTTCCCACCCCTTCCTTCCCTCCCATACATAGCCAGACACAGACTCAGACATACGCATACCCACACACAAATACGTACACACACCCACACAGAGAAAAATACGCACACGTACACATATATACATTTCCACACAAACAGACACAGACAAGAGCTCTTATCTACTCACTCCCACACATATATACACATACACACAGAAATAAGTACATACACACGTAGGCCAGGGAAGATTCCACATAGGTACACAGGATAAGCCTTTTGCATTGCTCCTGAAACAGATCATCTAATACAGAGAAGCCTGCAAACACTTTAGTCAATTCGCTGGATTTCATCTCCATGGCAACAAGCATGGAAGGTGAGACATTGCCGCCTGTGAAGTAACTTTCTCCCCACCCCCTGCATGAATAGACAGGGAGGGCATGGGTCTCACTCCATATCCTCAGGATCTTACTTTTCTGAAGCAAACAGGTCTGCAAGCCCAGGAATCCATTCTAGGGGAAAGAGCCCTGCTGCCGCTGCTGCTGCTGTTGCTGCTGGGTGTGTGGTGTGGTGTATGTTTATGTGTGCAGTCAGCTTGCTGATGCTTCTCACGTAATGTTTTGTAGGAAGTTTCCACGCTTCTTCAGTTTAATCTATGAGAGAGAGATAGAGACAGAGAGAGAGAGAGGGAGAGGGAGAGGGAGAGGGAGAGGGAGAGGGAGAGGGAGAGAGAGAGAGAGAGAGAGAGAGAGAGAGAGAAGAGAGAGAGAGAGAGAGACAGAGAGAGAGACAGAGAGAGAGAGACAGAGAGAGAGAGAGAGAGAGAGAGAGAGAGAGAAGAGAGAGAGAGCGAGAGAGCGCGCTAAGGACAAGCAAGACAGAACAGAATGATAATGAAGGTCTGGGTTTTTGTCCTTAAGATACCTTGAGAATTTCCAAGTTTTCCACTGCCTTGAAAAGAATGAGGGTGGCAGCTCTATAGGGACCACCTCCAGACTCTCTCAAGAGAGAACTCTGGGGATCCAGTTTGGGGACTGTTATTGAGTGGATCTTACCAGATCTTGAGGTTTTAGGTCTCTGGGAAGCCCTGAAACTTTTACACTACATCAAGATGAAGACATCTGGGTTTGTACTTTCAGGTTTTCCTTTGATTCTAACATACGTATACCTCATAATCGATAAATGAGCTCTGTGTAAAGATGGATTAGTATAACTTTGCCTCTGTACCTTCCATAGGATTTAATGATCTTTGCATTTGGTGTGCTGGTGGTATTTATTTTGAGTCTGGGTTAATGTATATGTTTCCTCATATGAAATGATGCAGTGTCTGGTCTCTCATTTGCATGGTGAGAGTGCATCTCTCATTCAAAATATTAAATTACCCTACAACCACAAAAATCAGACTCTATCTTAATTTCATTGGTTTCAGGGATAATATTTGAAAGCCACTTATGGAGGAAAAACCTGTTGATTAAAGTAATTTCTTGTTTAAAAAACTATATATATATATATATATATATATATATATATATATATATATATGATTTTCAGTACTAATCTCAGATGCTTTGTATTGTTGGTGATGCAGGTGAAACAGTGAATTGTATCAATTTATGAATATCGAATTAAAAAAATATAACCTAGTTAATAAACTTATTTCCATCAGAAAACTACTATCCACAAGATACCTGTGCGTAAAAACAAAAATATTATATATAAAGGTGATTCTATCTTTGTTTGGAAGCTTTCTTCTGTAACTATGTTTGAAAGATGCATTGAAAATAGCAGGCTTAATAAATAATTACTGAATGACTATGATACATGTTACTTATCAGGAAAATACAATTTGTATTTCTATTTGGTGCTTTAATTTTTTTTTTAATAATACTTGATAACCATTTAGCAACTGAATGAAAGTATGGGACCCTGACAACCATTGGGCCACTGGGGCCCAATCCTGTGACTCATCAAAACTCCCAAGTTTCACTGAATGACAATTACATTTGTTGCCTGTGGGGAACAATTGTTTTTGCTCTGATAATCAATCTAATCAATTAATGCTAGAGTATATATATATATATATATATATATATATATATATATATATATGTACATATATATATACATTCATAGGCATATATTCCTGAAAATATGGCTTAACCCAGAACTTTACTCTTCAGTAGTATGTCAAAACACCATAATTAAAGTAAATTTTTTAAAAAGAAGTTTTTCAATCCTAATTTTAAAGATGATGAATGAAATCTGCTAATAAATACTGCAAAACTTTTCATTTTATTCATTTAGGCAACTTGGCATAGTCTACAAATGTTTTAGAATGTCTCCCCTCCTCCTAGCTTATAGTCTATTTGACTCTTTTTAAATTTAAGTTTTTGTTTTATTTTAGTCTTTAAACATTTCTCTAATTTCAGCAGTTCTTAGCCTTTTGTGTGTGTATGTCATGGACTCCTTTGACCCCATAAGTTTCTAGTGAAATCTATGCATTCCTTCTCAGAATAATATTTTAAGCGCATAAAATAAAAAGATGGGATTACAAAGGAAACTAATGATTTTGGAATATAGTTTTATATCTATATCTATATATATTTAGAACTCTCATCTTAGATGGATTGACTTTTATTGTTTTGTGTACTCATCCAGAATATCATTGCCCTCAGAAGATTCGTGTTCTATTGCTCAATTTCTAAGAGTTCAGGGTGTTTGCCATCTCTCTAGTATAGGTAAAATTTAAAAGCCCTTTGATTTAGGCCATATGTGCAGAACTCTGGAATTTTTCTTTCCCATTTTCCTATTTCTACCAATGATTTAAAAATGTCTTTCATTAAAAATTGACAGATGATTTTTAGGCTTTCTGCTGGCTTTCAGAAACTCGTCTGTTGTGATTCATATCAACTTGTCTTAATGTGAACGAGTTCATCACAAGTTGCTTTTCAGTAGTCTTGAAGGAATTCTGTAACTATGAAGACATTCATCAGGAAATTCTCAAAAAAAAAGTCAAACTGAGTGTTGCCCTCTCAGGCTTGCCTTCTCGTAGATCAAGTGAAATGGAAAACTGAGACTATTAGTCAGATATTCCAAGCCCTAAAAAGAAACTGAAAGTGTTAGCTATGTTTTCTCTGCTGATACAAATAACACCTGTGACAACACCCAGATTTTTTTTTTTTACAGTTTTTTTGTGCCATGGTGTTGTTATTTGTTGTCTTCTTTTTTCCGTCACTTTTTTTTAACATGACAGGGTTCAGAATACAATTTTATTTTTTTCTCTTTAAGGCATTTTTTATTAAAGAAAAATACCCTCTCCGCTCCCCCAAAAACTCTTTTTTTTTTGGTTGTTTGGAAATGAAAATTTCATACTAGCTTGAACCTCAGAGGAATGAGCTCCATTTAGAACTTCAGCAAATGCAACTTTTTTTAAACATGTGTTTATGAAAAGCTTTCAGTTGAGTACTTCAATTTGGTAATTCACTGAGGAAAATAGATAGTTTAAATAAGATAAAGTCCCTGCCTTCATAAAGCTTACAGTCTAGCACAGGGAGATAAAGTTATAGATATAACAATGCATAATGAGTACATCATGACAAGGTATTATAAGGGATCCAAGGGGAATGGACATTGGCAGCAAGAGGAATAAAGGTTGTTGTTGTTGTTTGGCCTTCCTTCTCAAAAAGAACCATGGCATCAGGAAGGTGATGCCATGACAAGCAAGTGAATTGGATGTAAGTGAGGGAGGGCTGTGCAGTCACCAGCCTAACTCTCTTCTTCAGAGCCATCTGGGTCCAGTGGTGAGATATAGATCAGGATAACTGGAGATGGCCCTGATGTAGTGGAGATCTTGCCCTTTAACAGGTCTCAGTTTGACTGGGGCAGTGTCCATTCAGTGATTAAGGCTAGGTAAGAAAAGGGAGGAATAAAGGAAGCCTGAAAAAAAAAGTGGTATTTTATTTCAACCAATCAATAAATACTTACTAAACACTTACAATGTGTAAGGCACTGTGCTATGTCCTAATGATATGAATACAATGAATGGAAGAATTCCTACTGCAAGTATCTTGCATTCTAAAGGGGTAAAAGATTGGCAGGAAGTCAATAGGTACAGAGGGAAAGAGAAGTATAAGCAAAAGCAAAAAGGTATGAAGTTTCATGGCACATTTTGAGGGCAGAAATTAAGTCAATTCCTTCCCTTCTTTTCCCTCCTTCCTATCCCTCTGTTCACATAGAGTATCACACCCTTACCTGCCAGTGCTCAGCCCAAAGGAACATAAATTTTAATGGCTGAAATCAAGAAGATATCTTGGAGCTTACAGTCTAGATTTCTTTCTTAATGACTGTGCCTTAAACTCAATTCACTCTGGCTCTCATTGATTGGCCAACAATAGGTCCTAGTCCAAGCCCATTTGGTGGTCATAGTTTGGGCCCTGATGGCACAGAGTGAATGTAAACAGTAATTGTTTTTGTTTTTGCCTGGTCTTCCCCTCCCAGGATGATTTTTTTTGATTAGGTAGAAGAGGCCATTCCTTGGCTCACTTCTTATCTAGCCTTAATCAGTGAAATGGACATTGCCTCTGTCAAAATGAGAACTCAGAAAGACCTTAGCTGAAAAAGGCTGAGATCTCCCACTGAATCTAGGGCCATCTCCAGTCATCTTGATCTATATCTTGCCACTAGACCCAGATGGCTCCAAAGGAGAAAGTGAGGCTGGTGACTTTGAGTAGCCCTCCCTCACTTAAATCCAATTCACTTGCAAGTCATGACATCACCTTCCTGATATCATGGTCCTCTTCCCAGAACAAAGGACAAACAACAACAACAATTGCCAGACTAATTATTTTTCCTTATACATAGCTTTGGTGATGTCACTTCACTCAAAAATATTCAGGGGCTCCTTATTCTTAAAGTTTAATTCTTTTGCCTTGCATTCATGTGCCACTACAATCTGGTTCCATGTGTTAGCTTGCTCAGATGTGTAGCAGCAAGGGCCTATACTAGGGTAATTGTAGTAGGAATGAAGAAGAGAATATGGTATAATAGGTGCTGCAGAGGTCAGATCAAAAGGACTTGATAATTTTTTAAATATAAGAGAGGCAGAGATAAGATTCAAAAATAATCCCTGGGTTATAAACATACTAGAGGGCTTCCTCTCTGCAGGTGAATGCTTACCCCAGATTCCACACTCCTAAAAGATAGCTCACAAGTCTCTATCATTCAATTTACCTTTAATAGTTGGCCAGAGGACACAATTAGTTCAGAGAAAAGGTACTGACTGAGCTACTGTTCAAAAGAACAGTAACTACACAGTATTGCCCCCTTAATCTTGAGATACAATCACCCACAAAGACACACAGTATCCACAGGAAGAGTGAGCATACATCGGGGTAGCTAGGTGGTGCAGTGCATAGAGCACCGGCCCTGAAGTCAGGAGTACCTGAGTTCAAATCTGGCCTCAGACCAAACATTTGAAACTTACTAGCTGTGTGACCCTGGGCAAGTCACTTAACCCCAATTGCTTAAAAAAAAAGAGTGCACAAATAGGGAGGCTCACATTTAGGGAACATATATGGTCAAGGCAACTCCCAGCTCTGATGTTGCAGGTTTGCAATGTCCTTCTCTTCTCATGCTATCCTAGCATTTCTCCCTCTAAGTACAGCATCTCAGCTGGGCACTTTGATCCATTGGGTGCCCTGCTATGCTTACTCCTTTCAAAGTATGGTATCTCCTACTGGACAAGTAACTAACTCTGCAAGGTCATTGGTAATGGCGGGGATAAAGGGGTGGAGAGATGGAGAAAGAAGACAAAAAAAAAACCCTTCCAAAAGGCTGAGTGTTTCTCTCTCAAGATTTGTGTTCAGGGGTGTGCTAGAGCCTGCTCAAACCCTCTGAAATCAGTAAACACTGCAAACTAGGGCTTGATTTATTTTTTGTGGATTGTTTGGACTCTAGAATCTAGACTATATGCTTAAGAAAGCAATAAATAAAATGTTAGTAATACAGATTATACTTAAAAGTGTGTTGGTTCATAAGTTGTGTATTTCACCCATTCCCCCCCCCCACCTCCCTGAGAGCCACTTGGTTTTTTGGGGGTTTTTTATATAAATTTATTTATTTATTTT